TGAAGAAAGTCTGAGGTTTCTTTCTGGAGATTCTCACATTTATAAAGGAAGAGGGGCCGGGTGTTATGGCTCACACCTGTAATCCCAGCACTTTGAGAGACTGAGGTGGGTAAATCACCTGAGCTCAGGAGTTTGAGACCAGCCTAGCCTGGCCAACATGGTGAAACCCCGCCTCTACTAAAATACAAAAATTAGCCGGGCATGGTGGCATGCACCTGTAATCCCAGCTACTCAGAGGCTGAGGCAGGAGAATCACTTGAACCTGTATGGCGGAGGTTGCAGTGAGCCAAGATCGTGTGACTGCACTCCAGCCTAGGCAACAGAACAAGACTCTGTCTCAGGAAGAGGGAGCTACGTGGAGTTGGGTCATCCACTGTCCAGTAGCACTGATGAAGGATAAGCAGGTCTCTCTAGTTGATATAAGTCATGCAATGTGAATTCCTCCCGAGCAAATTAATAAATTTGTACTAATCTTTTACCTTTTCTGGAAAAGCAACCCAAAACCCTTTTTTCTAAAGGACAGGATAGTGTCATCATCTTGAATATGGACAGCATTTTATTCAAAAAATTTTTGCTGTCTTTTATTAAAATTTAAAATACAGTGGATCAGCTAGGACTTTTAGTGATAGACAATAGAATCCTCTCTAGCTGGTTCAAATAGAAAAACATCTGTTGGAGGCTGGGCGCAGTGACTCATGCCTGTAATCCCAGCACTTTCAGAGGCCAACGCAGGCGGATCACTCGAGGTTAGGAGTTCAAGACCAGGGACTGGCCAACATGGCAAAACCCCATCTCTACTAAAAATACAAAAATTAACCAGGTGTGGTAGTGGGTACCTGTAGTCCCAGCTACTGGGGAAGTTGAGGTACGAGAATGGCTTGAAACCAGGAGGCAGAGGCTGCGGTGAGCAGAGATCACGCCACTGCACTCCAGCCTGGATGACAGAGTGAGACTCCATCTCAAAAAAAAAAAAAAAAAAAAAAAAAAAGCAAGAAAGAAAAGGAAAAGTTCTATTAAATTGTAAATTTTGCTCACAAACTCATTAATAGAGATAAGGAGACAGATTTTGAGATGAAATTCCAGGA